TGCGCGATAGCAGCGGTTTGACTGCAGAGACTGGTACGATATTTTTACTTTTTCTAATTTCACCCCCCCTTCTTGGCCATGCAACCAATCAGCATTCTCACTTCCTACCCCTTTTTTTCTCATCTCCGGCTCACCGGAGTGCAACCACAACTCAGTTCTGTCAATCGCAATAGGCTTGGCCTTGTCAGAATTTCTCAGGACCAGAGATAAGCATAAACATGAAACACACATCTTGTCAATATCAGCCGCCTTCGTGAAAAAATGTAAATGATGGGTTATATTGTCTCAAACGGCTTCTCAGTAGAGACCATCATTGATGCATTGCGACGTTTTTACGAAATCCTCCCCCTCAAAAGAACGATACAGCACAAGGATAGGAACCTTGGCCAAGACGACCGGCAGGGTGTTGTCGAGTTTAATCATTCAAAATGCTAAATCAGTGACATTTGTAGAAATGTGTGTATTGGCAATACGATCGAGGGACAAAAAAAAGGGTGAGAAGCAGTGTGAATTACGAGCATGTCCATCACTCATCAGTGTTATATGGGAGGGGAAGCGGAGACGGAGAGGTGAGAAGTCCGATGATCCGAAATCATCCGGAGGGGGAGGGAGAGAAGAGTGAAAATCGACAGAAGAAAAAATCAGACAAAAAATCCACAAGAACACAGACAGAGACGCATGGATGGAAGGTCACAAAACACAGAGCTGCGGAGTTCAACCTTTGTTAAGGCACCGGCTCCCAATTCTTCCCAGTCCCGAAGGGAACGGGAAAAAGGCAAATATTTGGGGGGTCCCGATGCAAGGTTGAACATGGAGATCGGCACGGCGGCTTCAAACCGGCCCTATGCCTTCTCAAGCTCAAGCCAAAACGGCAGCAACGACACCGACCAATCCAACGACACCACCAGCAACCTTGGCAGAGCTGAGGGCACCACCAGTGCTAGAAGACGACGAGGCAGGTGGTCGGCTAGAAGAGGTGTTGGAACCACCAGAGGTATTGGTGTTAGGGGCGTTGGTGGTACCAGGAGCGTTGGTGGTTCCTGGAGCTGAAGTTGCAGGGGTCGAGGCACCACCAGTAGTGGCTGGGGCAGAGGTGGAACCAGTTGCGGGAGCGCAGGTAGCGGGTCCTCCGGGTTGAATCGTGAAGATACCTGTTGGAGATCGTCAGAATGCGTGTCCCATTCTTGTGATTATAAAAAGTGATTGGAAGAGAACCCGAGTGATCTCGCCAGGGTGCAGCGGGCACTCCATCGAAGGCCACGTGGTATAGGATGAGAACGGGTCATGACGTTGTGCGAGGGGGGATGAAATTAGAAAAAGTAAAAATATCGTACCAGTCTCTGCAGTCAAACCGCTGCTATCGCGCAGACGAAGGAAGACCTGGGTGTCTAGCAACATCGAAGGAGAAGTCGTGTCAGTTTTCCCGAATTCGGAAGACGCGAGAGGGGTGGTGACGAAACTAGGGACTCAGAGCCCTCTGCCAGGGCCAATGAAAGAGGGGATAAAAAAAAAGATACTGACTAGCAGGTTGTTCTACCAACCAGACATAGGGGCTGCCGGCAATGTTGGGGTAGGTGTTGAGAGCCGCAGCACTGGTGTCGCCGCCTGCCAAGGTCGAACATGTTAGAAAAGGTCTCGGCTCTGGTCACGACGAGAATAGAGCAACGAGAAAACATACCTGGTTGAACTTGGAGGACATAGGGGCCAGTTCCACCGGTCCAGGTGACTTGTTGGTTGAGGCAAGAAATGGCACCAACTCTGTATCAACGACCCATTTCGTCAGCACGCTTGCTCGGCACATGGGGCGTAAGTGCGGCAAGATGGGGAGAGCGGGTTGGGGGAACGAGGGAGAGATTATCGGAAGCTGATGAACAAGAGACTCACGGGGTGTTGACGGTCATTTGAGCCCAGGCTGCAGCGGCAGCGGAGAGTACGACGAATGCCCACTTCATGGTTGTTTAGAAGATGTTGCGAGAACGATTACGAGGTGAGGAGGAGATGAGCTTTGAGAACGCAAGAAATGTGCCGCTGGAGAGCTGCTTTTGGCTTGGAGGGGAGAGAGATGGACGAGGTCGGGAAGAAAAAGTCGTGAGACGAGGGGTTGCTTTGTTGGGGTGGTTTTTATAACAACTCGTGGTCCTCGAATCAGAAAATCAATGTGTATTCAATCCTCAAACGTCATCGAAATTATCGCAAATATTCTCAACACTTTCAGAATCTGCGACGGTCCAGCGTGTTCTACGACGGATTCTGGGCCAAGTCTACTTTTAGACGGCTTATCGCACACCTCCTCACTCTTCTACAA